TTTCCAGGCGGTCAACAAGATTGACTCGACTGAAGTCAGTTGGACCTTGGGTAAGATCGTCTTGTATGCATCTTCTCAGGTGCCTTTGGAGATTGAAGAAGGTCTCCCAGTAGGCTTTGGCAGCAACGCCCCTGGTATCCCGGCCGACTTCCAGTATCCCAGTGTTCAACTACTACCAGATTCCGACAGCTTCCACAGTGAGCACTGGCATGATGCATTGTTTGACGGTGATTCCCCGCGCCGGATCCCAGGCTTCGTTCTCTTCATGCTTATTGTTGTCATGGCCGGCTTTTTCTTGTGCGGACGCAGCCGTCGATCGCGGATCTTTAACCGCGTGAGTAACGTGTTACGCCGTGGTGGGCCATCACACCCCAATCACCCGAAGAAACGAAAGGGACTCAAGTCGATGTTGCCATTCATAAGTCGAAGCTCCCCCTCTTACGAGCGAGTTCTCGAGGATGGTGTTCCAGATTACGAGCTTGGTGCCATCGAGTCCGACGGGAGCGAAGATGGTGGACGTCTTTCCGAGGCAGACTCGGCTAGACTGGAACCACCGAAGCGAGCATCGAGCTGGGGCAGCAACACCAACACTCCCAGTTTCAAATACGCGTTGGATAATAGTTCGACTGGGACGATTGGTCTTGGGATTAGCGGTGGTGGTGGTGGGTCGGGCATTGCTATGGATCGAGCAGGCTTGGTAGTGAGGACGGAGAGCAGGGACCATCTGGCTCCCATTGCTCTAGGCCCTACAACCAACGGCCGTCGATCAAGAGCTGGCAGTCCCACAAGATCTCACCAAAAATCACCCAGCATGACACCCCTGGCGGACGACTAATGCGACATATACACCTGATCCGAATTATGCATAATTACTTACACTGCATTGCATTTTCACTTGGAGTTTGATTGTTTGACAAGCGTCGAATCGCTTCGGCGCTGTCCTTTTTTTTTTAATGCAAAGGGAGTTCATCTTTTCATCGAGTTGCGTTTGTTGTGGCAGGCTGATTTCGATTCTTCATATCATATTTCAACACTGTGCTCTGGAGTACCTTTTGTTGTTGGTTGGTTGCGGTGCTTATGATCTCAGGCTAGTGATTTACACGTAATGAGGTGTGTACTATTAGTGGTTGAGAATGTTTTCCCTGAATATAGATTAATACATTGCCGAGGTTCAATCTGCATTGAAACTATACACTCTAATACTAATGGACATAGCTTCATCAATTGACTAGGCTACCTGGTAGCCCTGGAGGTAGGCAGTTAGATAACTACATGCCAGAGCAGCTATATTGATGCCAGTATTTTCAGGCAATACATTATCATGTGACAATTTTGTCACCGCCTGGCAAAAATGATGTAGAGAGAAACTGGCGCAAGTAGCTTCCGATTCACTCGTTGCATTGAATCACCAAGCTTGTTCAATTTTCTCTTCCATAGCACTCCACCTATGCCGTCGCCATAAAACTCACCATACCATACACTTCCTACTCTCGGTAACCGCCACCACCGCCACCATGCGCTTGACCGCTGAGCTCATTCAAAGTTCCCTAACATATATCAATCCGCTCACAGATCGTGAGCTGGATCTCCGAGGTGCGTTCACCCACTACACACCTGCCTGAAAAGAACAGGTGCTACACTTTTGATTAAAGAGCTGGATTGATATCGTCTTTTTGTGTGGTCGTGTAGGTCACAAGATCCCCACAATTGAGAACTTGGGTATTGCCAAAGTAAGTGCTGTGTTTCTTTCGATTCTCGAGGCAGATGTGTCTCTGATGTCTCTCCATATTGCTGCTAGACCAATCTCTGAGTCCGCACTCAAACCAGTCATCCCTTTGCGAGTCCAATGTTGACAGCTCCTAGGATCAAGATGCGATCGACTTCACCGATAATGACATCTCTTCCCTTGGGAACTTCCCCCACTTCCCTCGCCTCCGCACCCTCCTCCTCGCTCGCAACCGTATCAACCACATCCAACCGGCACTCCCAACTTCAGTGCCTAACCTGACAACTCTGGTCTTGACTGATAACAATGTGTCTGAACTTGCCGACCTAGATCCGCTGCGGACCTTGGGACGGCTGACACACTTGTGCCTGCTCCAAAACCCGGTCACACGCAAAGAGGTTTGTCTAGTCTCCCACCTATATACTAGTTAGATTTGGCTCATATGATATGGTCTGGACTCGGTTGAAAGCTAAGCTAATTGTATCCTGCAGAACTATCGCTACTGGACCATTTGGCGCATTCCCTCCGTCCGCTTCCTTGACTTCCAGAAAGTAACTGATGCCGAGCGCGCCACTGCTAAAGAGCTTTTTGGCACTTACGAGGAACCCTCGTCCCTCGCATCCAAGATTATGGGGGTCAAATCCCGCACTTTCGACGTCTCCGCCCCGGCTGAACGCACCCCCGCCGAAAAGGGTGTCCGAGTACAGCTCACTGAAAAGGAGCGCAAGCGCGTTGAGCAGTTGATTCGCGACGCGAAGAGTCTGCAGGAGATTACCAAGTTGGAGAAAGAGCTTAACGAGGGACGGATACCCGGTGGAGCGGATGCCGATGGTGATGAGGCCATGGAGATGTGAGAGATGGAATTTGGATCTCTCTGCTGGGTTGTGTCGCGGATCATGAACATGCAATCACGTTTTGTTGTCTTCCTTTTCTTCTCTGGAGCTTAGCTTTCTGGGTTTCTTTTCTGACCGGGTGGGGTTTAGTGTGTATCGTATTTGGGTATTCATTTATTCATGTGCCCCTAGTTTGGGATTGGGAAAAGATCCCAGCTATGAATTGTGAGCATATCGAATTGAAAAGAACATTTGGTGCTCCAACAGAAAATATCGTGTTTGTCAATCAAGCTGCATCTGGAGTAGCAATCGCCGAGGTACGCTAAACAACATTGAGCCTAGATGTTCCCCTTGCTGGCTATCCTTTGCCTGACGATGCATCTATCGATCAAGGGCGGTTTCGTTGCTCATCGGTCCCCAGTATATAAAGGCGAGGTTGTCTCTATTTCACACTTCACTACTGCTGTCTTATATAGCTTCAATTCTGTGAAGTATTGGGTATTGAGTCTACGTTTAAAAGAGCAAGATCTACTCTCAATGCGGCAAAACTATATGATACATGTCAGATATATCCTCAAATACAACTTTGCTTCAGCCGCAGACATATACACCAATTCGACACCGTGCCCGGAGATCATTCATACCCAGGATCAAAGACCCTCACCCTGTAGAATCCAGCATCATTCCACCCTCTCTTGCCTGTTACAGTTTGAGGTGCGCTCTCATCATTAAACGACACATACTGCCCCATATCACCTTTTGCCCGCGCACCCAGGCATACTCACCAGAAGAATGCTGAACCAGAGACTTGCGCTTATCAACCTCAATGAGGCCAAAGTGCCCACTGGTTATGTTGTATTTATACGCAGCAGCGGTATGTGTCAACAGCAGGATGTCATCATCTTTCTAACTGGCAGAAAGCTCATGACCATTGCTCGCTTTGCCTTTCACCTTAGGCAAAGGAATTGGTTTGTCATCCCTCTTCAGCCCGATGCTCTTCCCAATTTCCACCACATCATATTTGTGAAGATGCTCCTCCCCAATGGCCCATGAATTGCCACCGTGCCAGAGAACCCCATGAGCCCTTTAAAACAGTATATTCATGGCTGTCTTTGATCTTTTTCTGATTGTTGACATCTGACGCATCAGTTGGAACATACAGTGTCGGCCCATGGAAGGTCGAGCTTGCGGCAACAAATGCTCCTAGATAAGAGATTCGTTCGAGAAAATGCGCAATGACATCAGTTGTTGCTGACCAGACGACGTCGTCTATCGCCGTGGACTTTTGTCCCGATTTGATATCGATCATGCCAATTTTGCTCCCTGACGCGGCGACTAGGGCAGCCAGACCCCGGTCAGCTGTCTTGCGGATTTTGACTTCAGAAAGGTCAGCCAAAACGTCCTTTTGCCAGGGCCATGGCTTCAGGTCGGCAGTGAAAGTCCAGTGAATGGCGTCTTTGTTCCATTTGGAAGCATCTCGTGGGAAGACCCGAAAAGACTTGGAGTGCTGGCTAGTAACAGCCAGATGGCAACGGAGAGAGCGAGGAAGGTAGCTTTGAAAAATGTATTATTGCGGTGCTAATAGAGGGATGATATACCACTAAGGAACAAGTCACAGGGAAGAAAATAGACGACGAGGGACTTCATAGATTTATATCTTCCTCAAGCTTCGACGGTATAATGCTATCAATACAATCGGAAAAATGCTTCACCATACAAGTATTAGGTAGATGACACTCGTGAAGCTCGCGTGTTCTGTCAATAATACGAACTAAGATGGGGATAATTATTCTAGATCTGGTGGGATCAACAACTCGTACAGTATGTAGGCTGTGGACCTCATTTTTGACGTCAACTCCTTGGAAGAGATTCAAGTAAGTTTTGCAGAGAATTAAAATGATGGTATACTTACATTTATAGATTGGGGCTAACATTAGGGCGGGATGGGTTTGGCAAGCAGGGTTCCTATCCACTGTATTACAGTTTGAATGATACGACCCGGCGGCTACACACCGACGATAAGAGCAACGCTACCGCAAGCTGAAACTATACTGTCACTGAGTATGATGGAGATGGGTACATTCTGGCCTACAAGGTCTAGCTTTACTCGATTTGTCTTTAGAAATATTGGCCTAATTCCACCACGAGTCGTTCCACTAAGTTTTTAACAAAAATGTCAATACAACCCAAGACCTTTTAGTGTCAGATTCTCAAAATGTTCCTCATACAGGGTGCTGATTGGCCTGATATTCGGAGATTTGCCATAATGGCAGACTGCGTATAAATTGCCATTTAGGGCAAACCAGATGCGTATTCTAGTGGGGCCAATGCTTGGCATCATCTATAGTCCACTACTACTGACGCAGTATAAAATGCCCTGCATCGCCAGAGATTTTCCAATATCTAATTCAAAGCTCAAAGGCTTGCAGAATCTCGTGAAAATGCACATTCTTGTTCTAGGGGCTTCCGGTATTCATGACTCTATCATTCGATTTTATGCTGAATTTCTAACTTGGATGTGACCTAGGTGCTATCGGCTGCCTATTCTGTGATATCGCTCTTAAGGAAGGGCATAAACTTACACTCTTTGTGCGAAATGCCAACAAAGTTCCCGAGCACATCCGCCTGAGTAAAGGAACACAGATCATTGTAGGCACACTTGAGGCCGATCCGGACTTGGAAGAAGCCGCAAGATGTGGAGCAGACATCTTTGTCTCTTTTGCAGGACCAGCATTTGGAGCACAGGGCACAGTATGAGCTTATCCTACAATCATTTTAGCGTCTCGATTGGGTTTTAACGGATTTTCTAGCCTTTGGCAGATGGCTACAAACTCCTCATCCCAAAACTCGCCTCGCAAAACATCACCCGTGTTCTCATCCTCTGCACTCCATCTTTCAGAGGCGAATCTGATGTTGTAACGTGGAAATGGCGTACAGGGGAATGGTTCATGAAGATGTTTAGTTCTGGTCAATATCAGGAGATGATAGGTGTCGGAACAGCAGTTTCTTCCCTATCCGACAAAGATGGTATCCAATGGGGATTATTCAGAGTTGGTGGGCTCATAAACGGAAATGAGGCACCTGTTGATGCAACCTACCTAGGTAGTGGGGTGGATAACACGTGGATTAGTAGAGCTAGCGTTGCAAGATGGGTCTTGGATGAAGCGATTCAAGGGAAATGGGTTGGAAGGATGCCGTATATATGTAACAAATGAGAGGGATCATGAGAGAATCGATTGAATTATGTGTGCCTTCAAGAATATGAGAGATAGGGAACCTCACCGCCCTTGATATAGCGACGGATTAATATTTCGCCTTGGAATGCTGATTGGCTTTCTATTCAACCTCATGTCTGCGCAAAATTCATAAGTTCACCGTGATATGCCTCAGAGACGCCCTCATACCAAATCCCGGGATGGTTGCAGCCGATGTAAGAAACGACGGATAAAATGCGACGAAAGTGGACCTCCTTGCTCGACCTGCAAAGCTCGAAATGCAGTGTGTGAATATACCAGTGACACCTTTCGACCTTCAAGCTGGACTGAGATATATGAAGAAGAAAAACATCCACCAGCAAGTAGGCAGTCACAGAAGACGGTGCCTGAACACTCACACCAAAAACCCCATCCTGGATTTGCCCGGAATGCTTCAAGCACGACATCGGTTTCACGCACACGGGAATTGCAACTGATGCATCATTGGACGCTCAGAACATGCAGTAGCTTCTCGCCAATACTGAGAGAAGTTTTCCAAACATACGTGGTAGAACAAGCACTTCATTACCCATTCCTGGTGGACGCACTGTTAGCCCTTACATCATTCCATATCGCCGCTGAACTCCCTATACACAGTTCAGAAAAGGCAGAATATCTGGGTGATGCCCTACAATACCAGAGCAGAACATTGCCTGCCTTCCGTATAGAATTAGAAAATGTGTCACCGATAAACTGCGATGCTCTTTTTGCGTGTTCGGTGATAATGATGGCGTGCACTGTTGCTTCCCCGTCACTGGAAAGCAACACCGATGCCAAGCTAGTGACTAGAGTGGGGGTGCCCACTGATCTAAGATCTCTTTTCCATTTGGTAAAAGGGATTCATTCCATCATTGAACAGGCCCGCCCTTCACTTAATGAAGGGCCATTCCATTTTATCATTCAACCCTGGTCGGGGGCAGATCCAACGTTTTTGTCTGCGGAAGATGGCACCTATCCTCCAGTGTTAAGGAAGCTTTGCTGTGGTATCGACGGGCCATCACAGAAGATCTACGAACACGCTATCGATACACTTGAGCACTGTGCTCTAGCCGAAGGGATGGTGATCCCGTGGATAGCTATGGCCGGTGGAGATTTTGTCGAACAAGTTCAAAGCAAAGAGCCGTTAGCATTGCTTATCTACATTTGCTGGGGAGCTCTGCTGGGTCGTCTCGAGGGAATGTGGTGGGCTAGGGTTGCTGGAAAGAAAATAGTACAAAGCCTTGCTGAGCATCTCGTGCACAAAAGTGAAGAGTGGGATGAGGTTGTAAGATGGGCAAAAGAGATAGTGAAGATGGATACCCTACAACACCCCACGTAAACAAATAATAGCGTACAAGGTTATACATAGAAAAGTCTCTTACACAAAGTATGCTTTCCAACTGTATGTTTAGTCCAATTATGTCCAGGTTCTATAAATTCAGGTGGGTCGGAGACTTTCAGCCCTCTGAATGACTTTAAGAAAATGGTATTCAATTGTATACGGTTTGCATGGACTATAATCTACAATAGATTCGCCCATTGGGGGTAATCCTATGTGTTATCCTAAAACAGCTGCAATGTCCATCACAATTTCGGCAAAATGGTTCCACTTTATACGCCAAGTGGATGAAATTCATGAAATCTCCACCCGGAACAATCCAAACGAACCCGGCTGGGGAACGAACTAAAGAAGCTAGAGAAGCCGGAGAAGCTTCAGAACTATTTAGAACCTGACTCAAATCCAGTAATACCCCGGGGAGTGAATAGCCAAGTCTAACGTCCCTTTCGTTCCACTCTGCTCTCTGTTGACCAGGGCTCCGAAGTTGTATATATACTACCCAGGTACACTCACTCACCATGCGTGTAATATCACCCATGTTCTCGCTAGCCGGCATAGTCGCAGCATCGATGGCCACTGCAGCGCCCAATGTCTCGGCAGGCTGCAGGGCACTGCAGACGCTCCTTGAGAATTCGCTGTTTTTCGTCAGCAGCAGCGTTTACAAGTACGAGGCGGCAAACTTTTGGTCGAACACGGAGCTGATGGCTCCTGGCTGTGTTTTCCGACCGCAGTCCAGTGCACAGCTCGCGGAGGGCATTGTGGCGCTGGGCAATGCCAATGCTCAGTTCGCTGTTCGGGGCGGTGGACACATGGGTATTCGGGTGGGTTTTTGGTCTCAAAGTTACTAGTAAAAAAGTAATATTATGTTGAGTTGACCCAATTCTGACGGTCGCAGGGCTCGAACAATATCAATGGTGGTGTCTTGATTGTCATGTCGAACCTGACCACTTTGGAATTGTCCAAGGATCAGTCAGTCTATTGTGTCCATTGGTCCTTCTTACCGGTCAGTTATTTTTTTTGTTTTGTTTTCTTTGTACTGATGGTGGTCTTTACTTACCTCTGTTTAGATGGAGCGATGTCTACGAATATCTGCAGAAGTTCGAACTGACCGCTGCCGGTGGTCGTCTCGGCCCTGTCGGTGTGCCGGGATTGCTCCTCGCTGGAGGTGTCAACTTCTACGGTAACCAGGTTGGCTTCAGTTGTGATACCATTGTCAACTACGAAATTATCCTTGCCGATGGCTCGATCGTGGAAGCCAACAAGGCGAGCTATCCAGATCTGTTCTGGGCCCTAAAGGGTGGAAGCAGTAACTTCGGCATCGTCACCCGATTCGACCTGGAGACTATCAAGTCACCCAAGGTCTGGGCTGGTTCTCACACTGTATCTGCTGAGTACATCGATCAGTTCCTGGCAGTATGTCATATTGATGTCTTTGATTGCTCTATTATTGGTCACTAATTAGTTTCATCAGGCTGCGGCGACCTACGCATCTGACATCCACGACCCCAAGACGCACATTGTACCGGCTCTTGTGTTCGGAGAGCCTAATCTCGCCTCGGTAATTTTGTTCTACGATAGTGACACCATCAGCTACCCTGATATATTTAAACCGTTCACCGATATCCCAGCTATCAGCAGCATCCTTGGCTTCAAGACGGTCGCCGAGTTTGCCGCTGAAACAGCCGCAGTGGTGGTTGATGGCATCAAGTACGATCCGTCGCTCAGAAAGCCATGACCTTGTGACTAACCAGACTTAGTGACGTATTCGTCGCCGGAACCGTTAAGGGCACAAGCTACAAGGAGCTCCTCAGCGGCATCAGCATCATCAATCAAACCTTCTTCAACGAGCTCCCTAAGCTGTACGCGCAGATCCCTACCGCCAACATCTCCACTATCCAACTGGACTGGCAACCTATCGGTGCGGACTGGATGAAGGCCTCCGAGGCTCATGGCGGAAACGCTCTCGGCTTGGACTCCTCGCAAATTTATCTCTGTTACGCGGAGGTGGTTGAGTGGATTGGCTCGGCTTATGATGATGTTGTCGCTTCCTGGGTCGAAGAGACGACGTACAAGATTAACAATGCTACCCAGAAGGCCGGTCTCTACGAGGCTTTCAACTACATTGGTGATGCTGCTGGATTCCAGTCTATCTTCCCTGGCTATGGTGCTGAGAACCATCAAAAACTCCGCGATATTGCGAAGAAGTATGATCCCCAGGGTGTCTTTCAGACCCTTATGCCCGGTGGATTCAAGGTTTAGGAAATCCTTGGGATTTGTATGACACTTCCTATGGATGGACAAAATATGTACATAGAACATCTACCGGCAGGATTTATGCCCGTTTCACAATACTCCAAGATTTCCAGAGAATGATAAACCCATGTTTCGCGTGATGATGCAACTGGCATTTGTTGATAGCGAACCAACTGACCAGTATCTTAGAGATAGATGTCGCAATTTGGTATGAGCAGAGTAAAGAGGGGGTACATGATGACAAGATCCTGATACAATTAGACGATGAAGTTCAGGAGTCTTTTCTTGTTGAGGATTTCCCCTTCCACCAATCTCCCCGTCTCAGTGACTTTCCCATTGACTTGCTCGTAGCGTACGAGCGCGGGAATGTTTTTAGTGCCCCACGTTGTTCGGTAGACATTCCGAGGGTTACTCCATCTGATAGATATCAGCTTAATGCATCGAAGGACTCGTTTTGAATGTAATTTGGAAACAAAATATTTGTTCACACACGATGGTAAAACTTACTCAGGCTTTTGTCCAACCTCGATAATAGCTAATTCCGGTGCATCATCTCCGGCAAATGCCTTGTTGATATGTGGCAAGGCATCTCGTACGTCTGGGCACCAAGGTTGCTTGGTAATTGGATCTGATGAAGATATGAAGGCAATGAATAATTTCGAGTCTGGGCTCAGTGCTAGCTCTTTCACCGAACTTGGCAATGTGAAATATTTAGTGATTGGCATTCTTGCGGCTTTGGATACAGTTCGAACTTGAGTGTAGAGTGTAGGCAAGAAGTATGGCCGAAAGAATAGAATTTTGCTTGAGAAACAAAGTCGAGACACATTGCAAATTCTTCGTCGATATGAGGCCATTGTGGCCTTCCAATTGTTGATTGCATGACTAAGCAAATCGCAATTGCACGTGTGAGGCTTTTTGTTCTTGTCCACCACACCGTTCATATCTCATCAATCTCATCAATATCATGAGTATCATCATGAGGTTCCTTTTTTTTGTGAACAGAGGTGCCCTTATCTGGCGAGGGCTATATTACAATCATATCAACCTATGAGCTACAGCTACAGGTTTCAATTTGACCTGTTCCTGTAGTCTCAGGCTTCGGTCCTTTGCCCTATCCACCTAGCCATATGTCGTTCGACGTGTTGTTCGTGCTGCTTTTCTTTTCCGGTGACTTGGATTGCTGCTTATATATCCATATATCTATACATCCATCCAAAGTTATACAAAGAAGAGTCCATTTCACAAATAAGCCTTTCTCCGCCTTTTTCTGCCGTTCATCTATAAAACTCAGATAAGCAGCAAAATATATTCAAAACAAAGACATTTAAAAAGACGTTCAAAAAGACAGCCAAAAAGATGAAGCAAAAAAATATCACAAGGCCGCCAACGTGGTTGTCAGAGTATACATGTGGTCAGTGCTGAATTGTGGATACCCTCGTATTCTGGACGTTGAGACAGTGTAAGCGAAGTTCACCCGCAGGCTGAAGTGTTTTTCTCTCATTAATACTGACCGAATTCGTAGAATTCCAACTTTTCCGTCAGCATGGATGAAGCAGCAGCCAGCTTCCGTGCACAGTGGGTCAGTCCATCAGACTTATTCTCAATCCTCTTAATCATTGGTGGGGATGTCATTGGCCTCGCTCTGGCAGCCCTCGCCGGTGGCCCTATCACCCCCGCCACCTTATCTTTCGGATGGGTGTCGTACGCTATCTCAGCGCTACTAACTGCCCAAAGCGAGGACCGCCTGATGCCTCCGAGCCCTGACTCTTCGCCCCGAGTGATCAACCTAAGCACAGGGTATACGCGGTTCAACCGGTCCTGGACTTTAGGGCGGGTGTTTCAGAATTACGAATACTGGATGCCGGCAGAAGTAGAACAGCAACTGCAAAACCACCCGGTCTTGTACCAAGATGAGGAAGCCTGGATCGCAGACACAGAGATGTCAGAGAAGGCCACGGGAACGACAGAAACATACCCCAATTCTCGTAAATATGTGAGCCCCCACCAGGCGCGCCTCTGCGTCGCTGTTTACGAGTGGGCGCTGGACGGACGCTATCCTGTGGCGCAACCCGGTTATGACTGGGTGCATTGGCTGGGAATCATCGTGACGGTGTTTCAAATAGGCATCAGCGCGATACCGTTTGCTCTCCATGGAGACTGGAGTATCTTCCTGGTGACGGTGGCCGGGACTATTCTGGCCTACGCGTCCGGCGCGCTGCCGCAGTGGCGGAAGGAGAAATGGGCGTGTCGAACGTTGGACAAGCGCAAAGACATTGCGTTGACACTCGGCAATGGGATGCAGCATGTGATCGTGGTGCTGGGGGCGAAGGGTGGGTTGGACTTGGAAGACATGGCTGGGGGACAGGTGCCAAGCGAAGAGGAGAGACGGGGCACGTCGGGGTCCATTGATGCGACTGATGACTCCTAGCAATACTACGCGCATGATGACGTTCCTGTTAACGGTGTTGTGGTTCATGCTTCTCCTTAGCAGCACGGGGATTCAGGCCCATGCGTGGTATCTACTTGCGGTGGGCGGCATTGGCATGATGCAAAATCTCATCACGGCCGGGGCTCCGCGTCAGCCGGAGATGTTGGGAATACCGATTCGGCTGGCTATGCGTTCGAATTCGAGGAACGAAGCAAGTCCGATACCAATGGTGTTCGCCGAATTTAAGGTCATGCATACGCTGATGGAGCTCGAGTTGGACTTCAAGGGGGCTGGTCGAGCTCTGCTCCCGGAGTTCTTCCCTGGAGGTGGCGGCCTACAATCTTGGGAGGAAAAGTGGTGGTCCAGCAATGAACCGGACGTTCGACGCCAGCTACTACGGGCGGCGAAAGAAAAAGAATTTAACAAACAGATGCGCAGGACGCAGGCTGGGTGAAAAGAGCCATATAATACCGCAGAATATGGCAGTTTTCAACCGCGGAGGGTTAGTCTCTCTTGCGGGATGACAATTTGGTACTTTTCTGCTTTGGTCGAAGTCAACGTCAAAGAGGCCGATGTCGAACACTATACGGGATGAGAACAACCATGACGGATAGAGTGTGATCTGAAGTCCTCGCGGTGTAATCTTTCCGGGGCCGCCCGAGAGGTATTGGATTTCTTTGGTATATTGACACACCTTCATCGCCCAGCGCATTCCCTCTTCTTCAAACCGTGGCCCGGGTTGGAACAGCACGCCTTGCGGAAAATTGTCAATCAGGCTGTAGAATTTCCGCATCCGCTCATCGGAGCCCTTGACCTCGAGGATTACCTTCACATCGAGATTGAGGATGCCCGCGAGAATGATTGGGCGATCGGCTGCCTTGCTGGTGGCTCGCGTGGCTACATTAAACCAATTCCATCTAATTAGTTGATCTTTTGTAATGTCGCTTTTCTCGAAAGGACTAGCAACCAAGCTGACGAAGCGTTCAAATTTGGATGTGGAGTCAATGGTATGTTTAAAGAAAGTGAACCAAACACCCATGGCAAAGTTGGCAATCCTCTCCTGCATGATGGGGAGTTTTCCTCGGTCAAGCTTGGTCAGGAGCTCATCAGCAATAGTGGCAATGTTGACTGCCTTGTCAGAGAACAGCACGTACAGCCGGCTCTTAGCGGCCAGCCCTTCTTGGAGCGTCCATAACCGGCGCATCCAGCCCGAACAGTGTAGCACCCTCAGAAGAAGTTCTAGGTGAGTGGTAGAGCTGGTACTCACATGCCTCATCTCCGAATCAAGAATCATCGTTCGATATGCTGCAATCGGTTAGGCTACCATCTAAGAACGTCCAGTGGTTTGTTAACAGCTTGCACTAACCATCCACGTATACTTCACGAATGCGCTGAATTGCCAGGCTCCGAACGTCGGGCTGATGTGGTATGCACAAGGTATCAATCCATAACAGTACTGAATCATCTCTACGCAGAGCTTGGCTGCCCGCGAAATGGGCAAGTCGAGCCGCGCCAGTGTGTAGTGGTCCAAATGGACCACCCTCATAGCGAGGGACATACTCACCACCAGTGAGGACACGCCTTGCCTCCTCATAGAGGAGTTTTAATTGGCAGTGCGGGAGACTGTTGCCCTGCGTGTTGCCCAAACCATCGGACCACACATGTGAGATGGCCAAGTATTGCTTGCCAACGCGCTTTCTCACGATCTCGATCTTGAACGTCTGGTCGCCGAGCTTGTCCTCGCCACTAGGTGTGATCATCAAAAGGGGAACCCCCCCATCCCGGAGAATTGTATGCAGCTGTTCGACATTTGACTGGAGGTGCGAACAAGTGCAATCCTCCTGTACGTGTCGAGTAACATAGTCGCTCTCATCGACGTTGTTTGCCACACATTCCGTATTCGTGCAGGACTCATGCGTTATCGTGTTCCACTCGGCCTTGACACGCATCAACTGAAGCAGATACGCCGGGGTGTCCACTCCGCCACCGGCCACGCGACACTTCGCTGCATCCAAGGGGCACCATCCCTCTGCGACCATCCGCTTGGTCTCATTTTCTCCGGTGAACATCCATAGCCTAACATGAGAGGTCTGGGTCTGAGGACCGTCTCGCTTGACTGCAATGTCCCAGAGCACATAGCAGACCAACCGAATGGCCAATGACATGTCATCCTGCACATAATAATTGCCGTATACTGAAAGTTGCTCGCAGACTTTCTTGACAATGTCAACGGCTCGCTCGCCAAGTTTCTTCTTCTTCCATTCCTTGGCGTCGTCGATATATTTATGAAGATGCTTTGTCGTTATGTACTGCTGGGGGCCTTCTTCCCTGCACAGAAGAAAATCGGACTGGTCCAGCTTGTCCCCGAACACATAGTGAAGCATGCCAAAGTAGAGCCAGCTTGCTATACCAGAATGGAATTTCTTCGGGATTGCCCGTCGAGGGAACTTTTCAGCTCCTGTTTCCAATTTCCAGCCATAGCGAATCGGGAACTGATCCCAATTGCCTCCATCATATAGCAAGCCGTCGTACTTGATCTGAAGAGGCTTTGGGGGTTTATCAGGGAAGAACACATGCTCCGCCATTGTGATTGACCAAGGGACTTTGAGAGTTGCACTTTTTCAGTCAAATAAAGCCCCGCGTCAGCATAGCCCTAAAACGCTAGTCTCGTACTGGTCGGTTCCCGTGCCAAGAAGTGCTCGTATTTGCTCTCCACGTCGTTTCGTTTACTGCTCATCTGCTTGACTTACCTTCCTTCTAGAATTCATGCTTTCCATATTCAGATTCGGCCTCTTTTGCCCCAGTATTTATTATCTAGTAAATCTCAGGCAAGATTCAAGTAGTAATTTTGTGGTTTGATATGTTACGCTTCCTACATTGTGGCATTCTAAGACTTGAACCCAACAATATCGGCATGCGTAGTCGCGTAGAATTAGTCAGGGTAGAAGAAGGCAGTCGTTTGGATATGGAAAGCAAAGCTTTTAGGCACAATGCATGCAACGACGGTTCATTGGCCTTGACCCAAATCAGGGGCAACGGGCCTGGGAGCGGTGGATCAAAGAGCAAAATCTTGAAAACACCGACAACATGTCCAGTGTCTGTCTGCTAAAGACTAAAACCCCCGTTATTTTCGAGCCAAATGGGACTTACGGGATTATTGTCTTCGGGTCAGAGGGCACTCAGTCTGGAGTATTGAGAACGTGTGCAGTGGTGTCACTGCGCACCACGGAGGATTCAGTCCATTATGCACAATTTGAAACCGTGGGGGAAATCAAATCTATCGCCAGCTTTCTACAATGGCCAGACAGAGGGTATCTGGTACCAGTTGCCTGGGATGACCGACAAGACCGTGAATGGATTGTTGGTTAACTGGATGTAATGTTGGTCTGAGTGAATGAATAGTTTGAGCCATGCATACCAAATTTCCGAAGTGACAACATTCTTGTCATAATTTTCGAGTGTGTTTAAATATGCGAATGGAACGAATTCAATGACCCCAGCTACCTCTGCATGATAGAGCTCAAAACCTCTCGGTGCTTCATGTAGTTCGCACAAAATGAGTCATGGTGCTGTGTCTGAGACATTGATAGTGCGAAGACTGGCCGGACGAGCTCTAGAATGTATTTTAAGCAAGATATAAGCCAGTGTTATGCTCACTTCCGGATGACCACAGAATTTCAATAACTTTGCTACATACGAGGTGTGTTGAAATAGAAAATGGAGAGCAAGTTCACGAGCTCGTGCGTGCACACGTCAAGGGCAGCAATGTGAGCCACACAGGGCACCGAGTACAACATAAACAAGCTCGATGGCCGCTAAAAAGGGGAACCCATGCATTCAATTGACCTGGTCGCTTTCATCTTCGGCCTCCGCATCATTTCCCTCATTGCCCTGTGGCCACAGGCCGTCGGTAGGCTCAGCAGGCCACAAGGTGGCACAGAGGTCCCGCGCATCGGCCCAGTCTTCATAACCACCATCGGAGCTATACATCATTAGAATAGATCATCTGAACGGATGTCATATTTAGCATACCCAAGATCAAGGTTCTTCGGTGCCAGAATCCAAATCCTGAGAAGGATGGACGTAACGACCACATCGTATGGCTTTTGGGCAGTCTTGCAGAAAGTCCACGCGCCCGGCTTGCGCAGTATGAATGGTTCGTGGGCATTTCCTCTAACCCCGTTCAGGTCTATGCCTTGTTCAGAGTCTATGACCACCGGTGTGATCTTGTCTTCATCCTCGGTTGGGCCACTGAGAGGAACACGTGCTTCTTTGATGATATTGGGGACATCTTGGATGAGCTGGGTCCAGGCCTTTTGCCATTCAGGAGTATCCCAGCCAAGGATGGCGTAGTAGTGCGTGTAACTGTCTCTTGTTAGCAAGTTGTACTTTTTGGGTAAAAGATATACTAACCCCATGGTTGAAGATGGAGTGTTGTGAGAGGAGAGTAGAGGGGGAAGTTAGGATATTGGAAGATGTGAACTTTGGGCAGCCACAACCTTAAGAAGTCACCTGCAGAGGAAATTACATCACTTCACGACCATCCGAGGAATATCTTTTGACTTTCAAAGATCAAACAAAAGAAAAGGGGAAATGATGAAGTAAAGTGAAAGCCCAGAGATTACGTGCAATGCAGTTTTATGTTTTACTGCATCTTTTGAGAATATCCTCTTTGGCCTGAGCAAAAAGGTGTCTGAAAGCCTCCAGATCTCCAGGCACTTCATCTTTATCTTCATTTCCCCTCTAGCTTGGACTGTCTTTTAATCTTGCACAGAGATGGCTGAAGTGAGTATATATGAGGCTAACTATTCAGATAACCTTGGGATGATTACGCTAACATCTCTTTTCTATCACCCAGTCAAGACCTGATGAGCAATGCCTAGCTCCAGAGCTTCGCCAGGCTCTTGATGACTTGAAAATGGCTGTCCATTCAGCAAATTGCTGTATGACTACCTCTCGTTTTCTGGACTCGTTTCCAAAACTCGGTACCCAACACTCAGAGATCCAGAGAGCTGTCGAAAAAGTGGCTCGGTTTGCTCGCGATCAGGACGAGAGCGCTGCTCAGGCCGTACAAAAATCCCAAACGACATTCGAAGCTCTATCTACTGAAAATCAACACGGCTTGATACAGTACTATGGAGAAGATCTCAGTTTCTACCTTGAAATCGACATTCCTCCGGACCTGTCGCGTACTGCCTCCCCTATCAAGGAATTCCAGGTTTTGCTATTTGACATTGAAAATCTCCACCGTGCACTCGCCCGGGTACGTGGAGTGGAGGCGAACATTACCAATGTCTTTTTGGGGCTGCCGTCTATCCAACGACTGATGCGAGAAAGTCGGGACGAGGAATTGCGGTTGTTAGAACTACGCAGCTTGGCCGAGACTCAACTGTGTACGCAATTCTTTGCCTTGGATCGGGAACAACAGGATATGCTCTGGTTATGGTATCATGATTCTATGGGGATCAGTGGGATCCAGAGGGATGACAATGCGCAACACTCCTACTCGGCTAGGAGCTGAGATGGAGACAACAAGGAGGATGAAAGGATTGTCAACTCGAACAGCATCCCAACTTGCAATCATTGAAGCACGAAAAGGAAATGAATGAGCAAATAGTGGGAAAGAATATCAGATGCCTACAGTCTCCAATCGGTAGAATCCTCCCTAGATTTACTAACAGCTGAATCCTGATCCACCCATTATCCAGATATCAGTGATTCAAACTCCTGTCTCCTGTGATATCAATCGTCCCTTGGTTAATCTCGTATTTTTAATCTCTTCACCTGAGATATCGAGTGTGGGGTAGATAACGGGCCAAATTGCCGAGTTTCGGGAAATTGTCCTTTTTCTTATTCTTCGGTCCACTCCCTTTATGGGCCATCGGATCACTGTCAAAAATCGATTATGGACTTTGCCTCGAAACGACGACGGAGAAGACGAGTTGCCGACGAGAATCGCAAAAGGGCACCCCGAGCGTATGCTTGATTTATCTGACATGTCGCGTATCTGCTAACTGGGCCCTAGATGCGATCGCTGCAAGGCGAGGAAAAGCAAGTGTGTTGAGGCGACACCGGGAAGATGTCAGCGGTGTTTTGCGAGTAATTTAGCCTGCAGGTTTAGAAGGTACCGAGTCCATCGGCATTGAGAATGACATCTCTCTAACATGAGACAGGGAGAAATCGGCTTCTGTTCAAGATACTGCGTCAAGTGACCTCACTGAACCTGGTATAGCCGGTGCATCAAGCAACAGTCAATCCCAAGTATTGCAAGATGATGTCAGTCACAATGATCCGCTATCTCCAGCATCGGTTTTGTCCCAAAGGCTCGCCGAACATGTTGTTGCAGGTCAATCCAAAAGGGTCCCCTGGCCAAACATCCTCTCCCGTCTGAGGGAGGCTTTCTCGCTAGATCCAGATGCTGCTCCCGAGGAAAGGGACATGGGCATAATGCAAGCCGTGAGTTATATCGATATTGTGATTCAGAGCTCATGCCAACTAACGAATCCAAGAATATGACGCGTCCAAAGGCGCTTCATCCATCCGAGGTGGCACGTTTGCATGCAGCGATTGACGCATTTCCCCCACGGCATATCGCCGACTTTTTGCTTTCGGTATTCATTAAACATGCAACGGATACATTCTTCTACTTTGACCAGGACCAAATATTATCCGAGATTGACCAATTCTACATGGACACCACCTCACCATTGAGATCTGACTTGAGCTTTGTCTGTCTGGTAATGGCGACATTTGCGCTAGGCAGTCAATGGACGCCACTAGAAAGACCAGATGAATTTGCAGTCAGCTTGCATCGAGAAAATGATGATTTAGGTCAGGTATTCTATACTTACGCCAAAACGCTTATTCCCGACCTGATTGACCGGCCCTGTCTCCGATCCATTCAAGCGCCTTTCTTGTTAGGTGTCTACCTAATGCCAGCAAGTGCCATTGGATCATCCTATATCTATATGGGTTTGGCTTTGCGCAAAGCGTTGGCATTTGATCTTCATCTCAACCCAGAGGATCAAGCAGTCGATGACCGGGAGAGAGAAGTCCGATGTCGGTTATGGTGGTCAATCTATTCTCTCGAGAGGTAGGTGACACGCCCATTGTAAAAGCCAACCTCACTGACCACTTTCAGGTGTACCACGGTTAAATTAAGCAGGCCTCGCTCTATTGATGTCAATGTAGTGAAAGTGCCACATCCATCGCCTCTTCCAGCACTGGATCGCCTACAAACATACAACAACATTCAGTTCCAGATGGCGTACACTCGTTTAATCAAGATCCTGGATCGAGTTGCAGAACCGGAGTATGTTGCCTCCACTCCAATAGAACAAACAAACTTATATTTTATTCGAGCAGTGCTGTCACCGAAGCAGAAGAGCAGTCAGAATCCAAAGGTCTGGCTTCCGATCTTCGACAGTGGAAGAAGTCCTTACCACCAGACTTCAAACTTGATAACATCAACCCAAAAGACTCAAGATACCGCACGATCTTCCATCTCTATTTGAATTATTACTACGCGTGGATAACCATGGGAAAAGTCGCCCTTGTAACCGTTGCTCGAACGAGCCTTCGCTGTCATATGTTTCCTACGTCGCGCCCTCCTGACCCAAGCGAGGCCACCTTGAGACAATCCCGGTATTGTGCAAAGGCAGGCAGAAAACTTCTCCTATTGTTTGAGAATCTGACGCAAACTCGCAACATCACTCGCTTCTCCTTCACGGACTTCCAGGGATGCAGTATTGCGACGATCGTGACACTAGTGGCTGGAATCACGGAACGCGATTCAGGATACAATGCTCGAGTGAAATTTGGTCTAGATTGCCTTCGGAGAATGGCAACTGGCAACACAACAGCCAAACTGGGGGTGAAGTTTGTTGAGGCCGTGCAGTCGATAACAAACGAGGCTGCGGAGAAGCTCCATCGAGCATCTTCCATGGTCAATGAAACGCAGAATGTGCAAACCTCGGCTGGATCGGATTACAACCAATGGGCTGAATGGCTTACCAGGTTGGAACGCTCCCAAATACTGGAGCAAAGAGTGATCCATGAGGTAGAGCCCGATGTGCCATTTTCACATACTGCACTGCACCCATCACAGTCAAACCAGAATACGACTGATTGGAGGACGGCTGGTGAACAGTATATATCGGAAAGCTCACTCCCGCAAAATCTAGCACATGACTCAACCATTTTGCGGGAATTCCAGTCTATCGAGTGCGACCTTTTGTCGGGACTCCAGAGTGATGATCAAACTTTTCTCATGGGGTTGACTGGGCTTGATGTCCTAGATTTCTCTGGGTTTACATAAATTACCAAAACAACATCTTTGACCTGGATATGTTTATTTATTTCCATCGTAATATGTAATATTCACAACACCAATCGCCATGCAATGCAATTCAATACGCAACAACCTAATCATTGTACTCTCACAGGAATCTGACCATCTTCTAGCAACGCATCCCATCTACTTTTATAGACACGGCCATCCTTCATCACACCAAGCACATGTGCATCAGGCTTATCAAAGACGGTCACATCCTCGAGCGGATTCTTATTTAGAATCACAACGTCGGCATGGAAGCCCACCTTGATTTGACCCAGCTCATCCGCGCATCCCATCATCTTTGCTGGATTCACAGTAGCACTACGCAGGATCTCCAGCGACGACAGAACCTGCGACCTTAGCGCAAATTCATGGGTCTGCGCAGAGCCCAGCGGACCCAGCAAATCAGAGCCATAGCACATAGTCACACCAGCTTCCGAGGCAACTCTCAAAGCCTCAAGACCAGACTTTAACACAATCGAATTCTTTGTCTGAGATTCAATAGGCAGATAATTCTTCCACCGCTCGGAAGCCATCTGAGCATACGCGATGAGCGTAGGCGTCAAGTAAACCCCTTTCTCAGCCATCAGCTTAGCAGTGGGTGGATCAACGAAGTTCCCGTGCTCAATACCACGGACACCATTATCGATACAATGCCGGATAGCCTTGACAGTATATGCATGCGCCGTGACAAAAGTCCCAGCATTATCGGCACATTCCACCATAGCTTGAATCTCCGCCGCGGTAAACTGCAGATGCTCTAGCTTATCCGTTGGCGACGCCACACCACCAGATCCCATGATCTTAATAAAGTCCGCACCACAGCGAATCTCCTCACGGACAGCCGCCATGCACTCTGGCACGCCGTTGCACATACGGCCCAGGTGATTATTGCTGTGGGTACCACCGCAGCATTCCGTAGCCTCATGCGGACCGCGCAGATCCCCATGTCCACCAAATTGGGAGAGGGCATGGCCTGCAATAAAGACACGCGGGCCAGGGAAGACACCATCTTCAATTGCCTCTTTCAGGGCGAGCTGGGCACCGCCACAGTCACGGATGCTGGTGAAACCGCGATGTAGCATCTGCGAGGCTGTGTAGGGCTGGCGCAAGAGGTGGACATCATTTGGGTTTCCGAAGGCTTTAGATAAATCGCTGAAGCCTGGGACTGCGCATAGATGTACATGGGCATCGAATAGACCGGGGCAGAGATATTCGCCTTGGCAGTCTACTGTTTCAAGGTTGGTTTGTGAGGCTGGGATGGATGATTCTGAGCCAACATAGGTAATTTTACCCTCGCTGGTTATGAGTGTTATGTTTTCTTTGATTGTGCCTGATTCGACATCGACGATGTTGGCGTTGGTGAATTTATATCCCTGCGGTGCGGGGCGGGTCCATGGCTTGATGTCTGAGCCAGGCAGGGTGGTTTGTGACATGATGGACTTGTGAGATATGGTAGGATAGAAAAATACTGGATAAGACCAAAATATCGAGATTAAATACTAAAAAAGAAAGCAGAAAGAAGACAAGGGAGAGTAATTTTCGGCAAATTGGTCGACAGATTCCCGACGCCATCGGACCGATGTACCTTCTCCGCATATCTTCCCGGCACTTGGAGATAAGCCTCCCTTTTATAGCAGGGGAGTCCGGGGCATACCAGCTCGTTTTTCTTGAAAATTCGAACATCTTCATCTTTCAGTGTTTTGTTGAGTCAAGTCTGAGCTTGCCCAAATCCCAAATCTTCAAAATTGGTATATCAAGGGGCATCAATTCCATGGAAAATTTGGAGAAGCATGCTGCGAGCAGCGAAAATGCCGATCCAACGAAAGGTGAAATGATTGAGCTTCGTGGAAGTTACACCGAGGAGGAAGAGAAAGCCGTCCTTCGCAAAATTGACTTGGTCATTTTGCCTTTTGTAAGGGGTTCAAACTGTCTCCTTTGTTTTTCAGGCTAATGACGCATATTTCTAGATGTGTTTCGTCTTTTTCCTGCAATACCTTGACAAGCAGAGTCTTAGCTATGCTGGTGTCTTCGGTCTCATCCAAGACCTCAACATGACCAGCTCGCAATATTCATGGTCAAGCTCGATTTTCTATGTTGGCCAACTGGTCGCCGAGTATCCATTCATCTATCTCATGAGCCGGCTCCCATTGACCAAATTCGTCGGTGCAACTGTGTAAGTTTACTCTTGCCATGTTACTATGCCGGTCACCATCATGTGCTAAACACCAATACAGAATTGTCTGGGGAATCATATGCATGTGCCTCGCAGCGCCGAAAAACTTTGCCGGATTCGCCACCGTTCGCTTCCTTCTCGGCTTCAGCGAAGGTGCCGTCTCTCCTGCCTTCGTGACAATCACCAGTATTTGGTACCGAAAGAAAGAGCACAATGTTCGCACGGCATTATGGATCTCCATGAATGGCCTGGCACAGGTTCTAGGCTGTTTCCTGATGTATGGCATTGGCAAAAATAACTCACTTCCAATTGCGCCCTGGCGTGTACTATTTATCATTTGCGGCGCGATAACTTCCGCTGCAGGTGTGGCGTTCTTTTTCCTTATGCCAAATGGGCCCAAAGATGCATGGTTCTTGAATGCCCGTGAGAGGGAAGTCCTGTCGCTACGCATGGCACAGGACCGAGATGGTGGTGACAAGGCCTCTTTTTCTTTTGCCCAGCTCAAAGAGGCAATAATGGATCCCAAGGCATGGGTTGTCTTTTGGTTTGGTGTTTTAGTATGCATGCAGTCGCCGGTTTTGACTTTTGCATCTCTTGTGATCAAGTCGATCGGCTATACCAACCTTGAGACTATGCTATATACGGCTCCATCGGGAGCTGTGCAAGTTACTCTATTGTGGATTGGTGTCGGTCTAGTGTTTATCTTCCCCAATCAGCGAACGCTGGTCGTTCTTGTTCTGATTATCCCGCCCCTGATTGGGACTGTCTTCTTGATGAAGTTGGACGTGACTGCTCAATGGGGCCTTATTGTTGCCTCCTGGCTGGTGTGTATCTTCTCTTTTTGGGCTATCTTTCCGTTGTTAACCTCCGTTCCTTTTAGTCTTCATGCATTACCGCCTCTATGACCCCACTTCTCTCACTTGCGGCATCAAATTTTAAAGGAAATACAAAGCGCGCTGTTGTAAACGGCATGTTTTTCATCGGTTACTGTGCTGCCTGCATTGCCTCACCTCAACTATGGACTCACAGCCCTCGTTATACGTCTGGTGTGATAACATCCATTGTGACATGGTGTCTGCTTTTCATGGTGGTGATTTTATTCCGCTTCTTGTGTATCTGGGACAATAAGCAGCGTGATGAACAGGCTGCCAGTTCAGGTGACATTAGCGTGGACCAGGAGGTCAAACTGGACGAAAATGGATTGCCACAGACAGATATCACGGATAAACAGGACCGACAATTCCGATATGTATGGTAATTGACTGCGTATATCTGTCTCGGAAAGTCTTTCTCGGAGCTTAGTTAATATGACTTGTACTGCTTTGTTGTATAACTCTTCAAACTTGGACCGAAGACACCAATGATACATCGGGGGCCGTAACTTGGCGTAGCACTAAGTACCCAATGCGTCCCAGCATGATGTAGAAAACATTTCTCTAGGTTTATTGGCAAACCATAAAATTCATAACATAGTGATGGGTATACCGTATAGATATGGCTAGGTGATGTCAAATATTTGCCTCAGGGCTGCTAAGATTATACAAAACCTTTCAAGATGAAGTTCACCATCACGAACGCTAAGAGCGCACCAACTCGCTATATCCTTACTAGCTGTCGCTTATCTATGGTTAAGTTTGCTTAGCCTTTTTTCATTATATTGCGTTATCGATCTTTCCATGGAAAGGATGGCGGGATGGCGCCGTAACCAACTGTACATGGACAAGGTGTGGGGTTGGCCTACGTGCCTCCTGGACATGCCTAAAGTTCATGGTTAATGTGCGCTACAACCAACGGACATCACATGTATGATAATTGAATATTGATTTGGTTCATGAAATAATTCCGCAGCAGCAACGTTACACAAGTGAAGTCAATCAGCAACAACACAATTCTCCTTATATAAAGTATAGCATCAGAAAAGCAAAGTGCATAACAACACGAAATTATCTGAATAGACATTCCAAAATAACAATGCTAATATAAATATCCCGTTAATCCAGAGCCAAATATATCCGACTACTAAAGACCTGCTTGTTCAAGGATAAAGGTTACAGAAACGGTCCATTATTGTCGTTCACAATACAAACAGTTGTTCGAACACTATGCATACAATATTTCCGCTCAGGAGCAGGATGTCAGATTACAACTCCCCCTTGATAATATCGGCCGCGCGCTCAGCAACCGCATACACGGTGCTCTGAAGGTGACCGCAGACCTGGAAAGGCAGAACGGAAGCATCCACAACACGAACGTTGGAGGTTCCGTACACCTTCAGTGAGGTATCGACAACACCGCCAAGCTCCTTAGGCAGCATGCCAGCTGTAGTGATCGGGTGGAAGTTTGACCGATCTAGTGAAATGAAATGTTAGCAATGGAAAACCCTCCAAACATCTCTCAGCAAATCGAATGATAAACGTACATTTACTGTAGATGAATTTAGACCAGGCCTCGTCATCAGCACCAGCAGCAACAGTAGAAAGACCGGGGGTGGTTTCAGCACCAGTCAGATCAGCAAATGGCTCAGTCTTGAAGATCTCACGAATGAACCGCGCCGCCTCCGCCTGAGCGTGAAGATCAAAGTCCAGCATGAAGTACTTGGGGTCAACGATAGGGGCCGCCGTGGGGTCTGCGGAAGAAAGGTGAATGCTGCCGCGAGAGAATGGGACAGAACCCCAGTACTCGCTGCTGTATGAAGCTCCGGAGGCCGAGAGCAGGATCTCTGCGACAGGAATTTCATCCTTAAAGATCAGATCCCACTGGATCTTGAAGAAGCGGTAGATGTCGCGCGCTTTGGTGATGTTGCCGT